ATTAGTTGTATGTCAGCGTTTGATTATTTATAATATATATTCATTATTTATAATTATAACTTTAGTTTTTCCTGTTTGTTTTTGTTTTGTTTTGCTTCACTTTTTTGTTATTTTATGATTAATGAGTTGCTTTATGTCTTTTGTGGTGTTTTATTTTTATTTTTGTGTTTTCTGTTAAAAATCTACTGGGTTGCAGTCATTTTATTTCTCTTAGGGTTGATGTTTTTGTGTCTTTGGGATGTTTTTCTGTTAGTTTTGTGTCATTTTTTCACCATATTCAGCTAATTTTAAACCCAGTTTTCTTGTTTTTTTCTCCCCGCCTGAGAACATTCAGCCACTAAAACTCTCTTTTATGTGCAGAAGGACAGAAATTAAGCAGAATCTGACATCTGAAACAGAAATAATGACGTTTTTTTAATTCATTTTTATTCAAAGGGGTGTCGGTGCTCTGTTTGGGGCCTGTAGTATATAAATAGCTAGCTAGCTAGATAGATAGATAGATAGATAGATAGATAGATAGATAGATAGATAGATAGATAGATAGATAGCCAGGTAGCTAGCTATCTATCCCATTTAAAGGCAGCTTTTGCCTCTTTTCTGTTATTAAAGGAGGATTGTGTGTGTTTGTGGCTGTTGGAAGAGTTTTCTGGAGGCTTGTTTGGTTTTAATAAGCCCCCCCCCCGGCTCTTTCTTCCATCCCACAGCTTTTTCTGACCCCGCTGACGTGTTTCTGAGCAGATCCAACAAACCGGCTGTTGTGGTTAAACGGGGGTGAAAGGAATCAGGAACCCAGAACATCAGAATAAAAAGACGTTCCGAACCAAAACAGAGGCTATTTTTACTCTTACTGAAGTTTTTCTCGTTTTAAAATGTTTTTACAGAAGAATTATTAGATTTTTAACACTTTAACTGATGTTTTTATCCCTCTGATGGAGATTTTTTTCAGCTTTTTTGCGATTGTGATACAGAAATATGGCCAAAAACATGAAAAAAATAGTCAAGTTAGCCTATAAAAACATCCTGAACCATAAAAACCTGACTTCTGTTGGCTGTTTGCTAATCTTAAATCTCTAAAAACATGTTTAAGGTTTGCGTTAAATAAACTTTTTCTCGTTTTAACACATTTTTACAGAAGAATTACTCAATTTTTTAGACGTTTCCTTATGTTTTTATGCCTCTGATGGAGATTATTATCTGCTTTTTTGCGATTGTGACACAGAAATATGTAAAAAACATAAAAAAGAGTGAAGTTAGCTTACAAAAACAGCCCCCAGTGGGTCAGGGAATGATGAAAGCTTCATTATTTACCTCCAACACGTCTACAGTCGGGGGTCCAGTTCAAGATCAGAGACTCAGTTCGGTTAAAAGCCTTAAAAGGACCGAAAACACACACTGAAAACCTAAAATGAGAATTTATTCTCACATTAATAATCCCGAACCATCAAAACCTGACTTCTGTTGGCTGTGTCCTGATCTTAAATCTCTGAAAACCCGTTTAACCTTTACGTTAAAACAACTTTTTCTTGTTTTAACCCGTTTTTAGAGAAGAATTATTCAATTTCTAAGACGTTTCTTGATGTTTTTATGCCTCTGACAGAGATTATTTTCCGCTTTTTTGCGATTGTGACACAGAAATATGTAAAAAACATGAAAAAG